GTACTACTTCTCAGAGAGCATTCAGGGCTTACAACAACAGTAAGAGTAAGAGGCATTATGTTTAAAGGCTGAAAATTTACCTTCATGACAATAACACATTGATCAGCTTATTATTAAAATAATGCAATGGTTAACAGTGTAAAATCAATTAATACTTAATGAAATGAAAATACAATATACCACATCCTATTTTTAAAATATTTCTAAGTGAAATGACAGAAGATGATTAATTACTTCATAATCCATTTTTCCTTAAATATTTCTCCAACTGCAATGAGATGTAAAAGAGTTCTTTAACAATCCAAATTCATATTGATAAGTCTGGAGTTGTAGCAGGTATAAACAACACAGCCATGTTCTTTAGTGTAATTAAACGCTTTTTTAATATTTATTAAAATACAATATTCTGAACACATAGTACTATTGTGTAACCATCAGCACAACAAATTCGCAATAAACAAATCAATATTAAAGTATTAAAATGTGTTTATTTGTACATTTGCAACATATTTCGATCCAACTGGATCATCATCAGGCAAATATTCATGCAGTGTACACTTACATTGAATTGTATTGGTAGTGTGAATCCATATTAGTGGTTGTAAATATAATTTTCATTACAGTTCTAGTTTCATTACAAATTTGAATATTAGTCTCAAATGTAAAACTTATATAACTCATAAGTTAAAATGTTAAGACAGTCTATGGTGATATATCATGGAGCAGAGGGATATCCAGGAAGCTTTCTTGATGTCATGAGTGAATATGGTAACGTTTTCTGTATATTTTATGGTGTTCTGTACAGGGTACCACATCTTCTTCTTATTAGATAGAGGTTCTTCCCTTTCTGCAGTTCTGTTTTGTTTATTGTGAATTTCTTGTGTTGACAGCTGTAAAATAGTACTATATAGTAATACACAACAGGATGCAAACAATTAGATAAACAACACATTTAAAACTCCTTTAGATATTAAAGAGTAATTACAACATTTCTAGCAAAATCCATTAGGTTCTCTTGCAGGTATTATATTGCTTAACACATTAGAGTTCTTAAGGTAATTTTTATAAAATATAACGTATGACTGATTAGATTAAATTGGGATTGTTTAATTTAGGTAAAATTAGATTATGTTAATGGATTTGTTTTACAGCCAAATTCTGCCACAGTGTAATTAATGAAAGCTAATATATATATTAGTTATTTTCCTACATATTATTTACAAAATTGGTATGTGAGCTGGTTTATGAAAATGTTAAGTAACTGCTTCTAAGGAGTATAATTACATGGCTATAAAATCCTACTATGAATTCTATGTGACATAGGAAACTTTAAATATTCATCTGTAACTCATATTTGTATCACATGTTTTTGAAATAATACTTTTGTTCATGAAGCCTCTTATGATGTTCCTTCCTCCAAACGCAAAGCCTTGGCATTTTAGTAATGTACAATATAAGTAAACAAAAATTGTATGTTTAATTAATGCTTTATCCATCCATAGAGAGACAAGTTTCACATCAAGCATAAAATGTTTCACTAAAAAAGATCATAATTTTAATAGAACTACTGGCATATGAAAATATTTTTTCACTTGTTTATATTTTCAGTATACTAAATTTGAGCCATTTCCAACAAAAAGTATGCCTATAAATCTAAACCCAAATTGGAAAAACAGGTTGATTTCTTAAGGAGTTACATTGAAAATAAATGTAAAATATTAATGTACAATTTTATTTAACTGATATATGTTGCTTTGAAATTCTGGCAGAAGACAACGTTTTGAATCAGTTGAAGACAAGAAACCCTTTAGATTCTATCAGATGAACACAAATTCAGACTTGGAAATTACAAAAAGAAATGATTCATATTATCCATCCATTCATTCAAAAACCTGGTCCCTCTTGAGTCATCACTCTGATAGAAACACATTCTGAGTTATCACAACATGTATATAATACAAAATTTTCAATGATGCCTATATGTATTTATACAGGCCTATGTATATGATGCAAGTATGCACATGATAAAAATTCTAGGGGTATCACTGGCTTCAAATCTTATCAGTGTTCATAGCAGCAGTATTCTACTAGACTAAGCACAATAGACCACTGTAGGTCATGGTGCAAGGGCCGAGAAGGCCTACCTCTCATACATTCATTCATTCATTCAATTAGACTGACAATGTTTTATCACATAGCAATAAATTTCAGGGAACAACAGATTATTTATTGTTTTATTTTATATTAAATTACCTAAGAACTGTAGGGTATAAAGATTCATTTGCAGATAGTACATTCAATTTCTTAGTCAATTAACTTTGGCATTTTCAATACTGCTATTCTTCAATGAATTTGGAATCAACTTAAATCTTTCTTCCTTGCTTAAAGCCAGTGTCATAGTTCCATGATTTATTTAATCCGTCTTGCAGTGCATACATTCATTTATCTCCTTCTTTCCCTCGCACTACATGTTTCGGCATAATAATGCCATCTTCAGGTGCTTACTTGTCCACGTCAAACCANTACCCAGGAAGCCCAACAGTATAACACACGCAGTCGCAGGAGCACGACACAACAAAAGCACAACACACAAGATAGTGAAGGAGTGCTCCAACAAAGGAGAATGGGCGTGACTGACATAGTGAGGGGCGACGTAGCGATGTGGTATCCTGAACAATTTTAATATTTTTAACGTTTGACAATGTATATGATAGATACATATTTTAGTTATTTTAATGTGTGAACATGGCATGCAATGAACTGGTTTGACGTGGACAAGTAAGCACCTGAAGATGGCATTATTATGCCGAAACATGTAGTGCGAGGGAAAGAAGGAGATAAATGAATGTATGCACTGCAAGACGGATTAAATAAATCATGGACTTAAATCAGTGCAACAGGACGCTAAAATATAACATCAGTGTCATATTATTCAAGACTGATAATTGTACAGTGATAACAAGAAGCTGTTTCACACTTTCACTAAACTGCACTGTCTGCCAATAGATTAATTTTATTGAAAAGATTTGAAAGTGTTACCTGTAAGATTTACAACATCTTGGGAAAGAGTAAACTAATGCTTCTAAATGGTACACATCTTACATGAAAATGTAAACTCAAGATTTCTAACAAAAACTGGAATGCTTTAACATTTTAATTGGAACTTTACAACAAATAGTACATTTTTAAGAATTCCTGGTAAATTATTGTAAGCAAAATTATAAATTTGACTAATTAGCACACAGTCTGTGATACTTTCTTTCAGAATTTCTTGTTTCATGTATAGTGCACTTCTTATGAACACTAGGTATTTTCATAAAGCACAGATATGCTGTGTATAAGAGTCATTAAATTCTACAGTGATAATAATTACACCACACTGAACACTGCACATTACAAATTTGTTCATGACATTATATGCTAGAAAGGTATATCTGCTCATTTGGCACAGTGAATTCACTTAGTACAACTTTCTTTAAAGTTGTTAACAACACTCAAATAAATCAACAGTTGTCCTAGCTAATCTACATATTAAGCAACTGAACCATAGTTCCAATTACAGTTGCAGACTTTCACAGTTATGATAGTACATATTAACCAACTGTCCCAATTACAATTGCAGACTTTCACAGTTATGACAGTGCTTCAAATGGAAAAGTGTAAGAATGTTAGATTCTTGAAGACCAGTTGACTTTTAAAATGAGTAATTTACTTGTTTTGAGACCAGAATAATTGATACAATGTACCTTTCTCATTTCTTACCTCAGTAATATGTACTATGTATTCTATTACCTGTTCTGAAGTGATGATTTGTTGTTTCATACATAGAAAAAGTTAGCATGTTATGACCAGCAATAGGAAAGATACCATGTAGGCCACATGACTTGTTTGTATTCAAAAGGAACCTGGACTCCATCCTGACACATGTATCCCATGTGTTCCACAGTACCTTCTGCCTGGATAGTACAGTATATATATTTTGAAATTCCACTTTGAGATTTACTTGAATGCATAAATTATATTTTGGTCTTGCATTAAATTCATCACATAATGAATGGGCTTCTATGTATGATCTACACATCCATTCTTGCATTAAATTACACACCAACTAGTCATAGGAGAAAGTGATTAATTTTGCAACAGATGTAAAATGCTATAGTAGGAAATGGATAGAAATGCTAACATAAACTGGGGGGGGTAATCGCTTGCCACAGATCCAAGTCAACTCTCTATTCACTGATCACAAAAATGATTAAAGAATAGTCATGATACGTTTTAACTAACTAATTTCATGAGCTGAACCCTTCTTGAGAAGCCACCAGTTGTGCATCTACTGAAGAACTTCCCAACATTTTATGGAACCCAAAGGTTCACTACCGTTTTCACAAGAGCCCTCTGCTGGTCCATGATTCATTTTACAAAACAAAATTTATATATATTATGCATTCAAAATTGTCACAGGAAGCAAGTGTCTTTACTTTACACTGTACCATTTTAAGCACTGCTGACTAATTTGTTTACAATATCTACTCATATAAGAAATTAGTTTTAAAATCAGATCCTCATAATTGGAGTTGGTATAAAGATCTGGAATTTATAACTAGAATGCAAGTAGGCCTAGCAATGGTCCATACAATGCTTTTCTGATGACAACAGCCAGAGAACAGCATTGCAATCATTTCAATGCTCGAAATGGACCTTAACTTACTTTCATTGATATTAGAATGTCCTTAAGACCACACATGCATCTTTCTTTTAATTTAAGATGCACTACTTCAGTTGACATACAAGTACAAGGGTAACGGAAAGACCAATAGGAAGAAATTATATCTACGTTTTCTCTTCAATTGTGTCTTTTTACTATGTTAAACCTTCTTCTTTTGTCTAACTACCTCTTCCCCAAATAGTAATCTTTTGGATTCCTGTCCTCAAGTCACCTAAGTTTTTCTGTTAATAAGACACCAGGATGCTGACCATGCGACACTCTCTATCTGCTAAAGTTGGCACTAACTTCGCCCATAAGTGGCGGTTGCTTGGTCGGTATAGTTCATTTGTGGACTGAAACCATGGAGTAAAAAGTAAATGCACCAGGAAGAGAGGCTTCTGAAACCTAGAGATGCAGAATTACTGAACTACTGAACTATGGGTTAAGCACTGATCTCATATGCTAAAGATTTCAGATTCCAGGTTTGAGACCAGCTAGATCCAATGTAGATACATTCGGCATATTTTTCCCATTCCTCAAACTGGCCAAATCATAATTCTGTGAAATGATATACTGTATCCATTCAAATTTTGATGATGTTTGTGTTCAATTAGCTATAAAATTACTCACAGAATTTAACTTTTGATCTTAATGTTTATGTTCCATATTTTAGTGGACTTATGCAAAACCCTGAATTGATACTTTGTATGTAAACAGTGCTTGCCTTCGTCAGTTCACGTCCATACACATACTGGCAAACAAATGATGCGTACCAGCAAACATGTTGAAGTCACACATCTGTCTGTGCAATTTACTTTCTGACCTTGAGGCTTAAATCTTAGGAAAGAAAATTCTGCTTGTAAGTATGCATATAATACCCTGTCTGCAAAATAAAAATTTTAATTCTAGCATACAACAAAGCACTACCTCTTTACAAAATGAGAATCAACTTTCTGACTTGCTTACTCCATAACTAATGAAGTGCTGGGTCTGAGAATAAGCCCCAAAATTAAAGACCAATGAACTGTTGGAAAACCAAAGCAACTTGAAGAAAATTTTCACGAGTTATGGTATGGACATAAAATAAGAACAAAAACTAAATTTTGTCCCATGAAATATTATGAACATTATGTCAGTTTCATTTAGAGCACTGAATTATTTTTTATCATATCCAATTAAAATATAGTACATTTTCCTCTTCTTGTGTTTTTACCAATCAAGTATCTTTTTTTTGAATCTGTACAAACATATTTCTAAATGATGGAAACCTTGAGTGAAAAATGATAAATATAGGAAGATGTTAATGTTAAAGACAGCAAACATCTGAATGAATGAGGATGTGAGGATTCCATACAAAGCAATGAAACAAAGCAGAGTCCAGAATATGAGTGTGAGGTACAGTATAGTGCCATGGGATCTGTCATGGCTTGGAAGATGGTTGAAACTCTCATCATAGTGACAACTCACCTTCAGATTGCTAGGTGAATTACAGGGTGAATTATGTATTATATTAGGCAAGGAACTGACTGAGTATTTATGTATTACTTCACTATTTTTGTGGAATGATCCATTTGACAAGTTTACTGCAGAGGATTCAGGGGACTTCGAATCTTTACTGCATATACTGGAAGCATCAAATGATCCAGATGCATAGAATTTTGTGAGAGTTTGTTCTTTTATCTTCCATCGATTTGCTAACCAGTCTTTCAGCTCCTCTTCTCCATATGGAAGGCTGGAACCAGCAAAACTGAACAAGAAAAATAAGGCATAGAGTTACAGCATCAAAAATAAACCTCTATATTCACAACTCACACACAATTTAGGTACTACCTTCCAATCCCTTCCCACCATGTCTGATATAGTTTTGTACCTTTATTTCTGGCTCTATTATGAAGTTTCATTTTACTCAACCGAAATTGTATTATTTGTCTTAAGTAGATATGGGTTGATGAGTCTTAACAAGCAGATCATAATTAAGACACGTTTTACTTGTAACATACTTATTTGAACAAGGAACGTACAAACTTCATTATCTCAAAATGATCATTCATGATACATCACCAGTGAATATATCAAAGAAAACACAAAAATCTGAATATGAGCAGAGCTGTACAAGGTAGTAATTATTATTAGAATACTGCATTCCTACTTTTTGTCAGACCAAGTTTCAAAAGTACTGAATAAAAGACAGAAATTATCTTGTAATACACAAAAAAAATCATGCACGCACATGCTCTTTCTCTTTTCTGTTGTATATCTCCATTTATCTGTCCATTCAGCCATACATTTTTCTCTTCATTCATACACTTATGAAATTCTTCTCTTTTTCTTCATTATCAAAAGTTGTATAATTATTAGTGACTAGAATGAACGGATCTTAGAAAAATAGGATGGGATGGTATGGACTGGATAGATCTGGCTCAGGATAGGGGCCAGTGGAGGGCTCTTGTGAACACGGTAATGAACCTTCGGGTTCCATAAAATGCTGGGAAATTCTTGAGTAGCTGCAGAACTGGCGGCTCCTCCAGAAGGGCTCAGCTCCAAGAGTAAGTAAGTAAGTAAGTAGGTAAGAATGAACAGTAGTCTTTTCCCACCAAAAATGCTTGCATGAAATAGGTAGGAATTTTAATTTAGTATTTTTTAGATCAGTCTAGGCAAACCTTGGACCATGGAAGCCTTCATTCTTGTATTTTCGTCTAGTGTTTGCTGCTTACTTCTTGCTAGTTTCTTGTTTGGCTTATCCTTCAACCCTGAAGATAGAGGCAGTGTTTGCCCCTGAAATGTTTGTGCACTTCTACTGGACTACATGGTGTTACTGGAAGACAGTACTCTTCATAGGCTCAGTCTGCTACCTGCTTCTGGCTGTGTTCCTGCTTGAATTATTCCTTGACCATGAAGATGGAGGCAGTACTTTCCTTCAAAATGTCAGTGGACATCTACCAGACTACATGGCATTACATACCATAAGACTGTATCCTTCATAGGCTTTGCTTTTCACCTGCTTCTTGCTGGTTACTTTCTTTGTTTCTCTTCAACCCAGCAGATGGAGACAGTACATTCCTCTAAAATGTTGATGGATTTCTACCAGACTACACAGTGTTATATCCAAGAAGACAGTACTCTTCATGTCCCAGAAGAGGGCACCCTTAAAGATTTATTTTGCATGTTTCCTGCAAGGCACTTCTCAAGAATACTAAGGAAACCACCACATTATGTGCCTGGCCATTTTCAGATACAATTAAAGAGCAGTATATAAACCGAAATTAACAGCTGTGGGGATTCGTTGTGCTGACCACGCGACCCCCTCTATCCGCAAAAGTTGGCACTAAACTTTGCCGACAAGCAGCGGTTGCTCGGTTGATATAGTTTGCTTGCAGACTAAAATCACAGAGTTTTTTTTTTGTTTATATGATCAGCCAGGCTCTTAAAGTTTATTAAATAAAGCATAAATAAATAACCAAAAAGAAATGAAAAGACTCCCACTGATGTCACTCCTATCCATTCGGAGAGCTGCAGAATCTATGACAAGTCAAGTGATTGGAACATAAATTGGATTTACTCGTATTTCTCCTTCCCAGAATTGTTTGTTGAACTTTATAAGTGGAAAACAAATTGTTAAGGTACAGTACACAACAGGAACAACAGAACATGTTATGTTATTTCAGGCCAAAGGACCTAAAGGCTCTATTTACATTCTTTGAGCGGTTTTTAACTCACAACCCTAGACTAGATACTTAAGGAAGACAAAGCTTTTTCCCAGCATTTACATGATCAAGAAGTTCAGTGACTTCACAATCATGTGTTGCCATTTAATCATGGATTAAGATAACTCACCGAGTTATTGTGAAGTGCACTTCTTCTGGAAAACGACCTTTTAAAATGTCAAACTCAGACTGAGGCAGAGTGTGAGGATATCCCACTGTGATGTCATACACAGCATCCAGCAGACCATCTGAAAATAAATATTTATCTTCCAGTTTGCTCATTTTAAAACATCCATTTCAACTCTGTAATAAAATCAATGAAAATCATGGACCATTCCAGGATTATTCAATAGATCTGAACATTGTATTCATTCCTTTGAACATTCCTGTACACACTGAAAATTGAATACATTTGAGGAGATATTCTGATAAAGAATGAATTAACTAATTTTAAGGCTGTTGTCTTCTACAGAAGACTCTTCATAAAAAATTAATCTGCAAAGGATCAAATGATTAGCATTCTGTAATATTTCATTCTGTTTAATGGATAAATTTCATAATGAATATTTCATCCGGTCATCGGTACTAACATACAGCACAGCACATACACTGAGATTGAATTTCAACAAATGTTCGTTAATCGATCAGAGTAAACTCTGCATTATCTGGAATGTTTGAGGAATGGTGTGCTGGTTCAATGAATCTGCTGGTTGCAGTTCATATACAAGGCAAAAACAGCATACTTTTGCTTCAGTCCTTATGTAGGGATCTTCCTAGGCAACATAGCAGACTGATGGGTAAACATTTCCAGATACATATACTGTAACATAATCACAGATTCTACTAGCATCTACTGTAATGACACCTATGTGAGGAAGATGATGAGTAGTGCTAATAATGGTAGGTGGGAGAACTGCTGGGTGAATATATGTACACTGCAAATCTGTTTTTGAATAATTTTACAAGTAAGTAAAAAAAGTAAAGTTATCCCTGTAACAGGACATGAAGGCCCATAGGGTTGTGAGACGTTAAGGGTCCCACATTATCTAGACAATCGGCTCAAAGATGGCGGTAAGGTTGTCAGCCCTACGCACCGGCCACGCTTTACTCCCCAGGAAAATTATTTATTTAATTCCTGGTACTCATTTCTGTTAGATGCTGAGTGAACCCCAGGGCCATAGTGCGGCTGGAAGGATTAGGTCAATTGAAAAAATCCAATGACCTCATCGGTATTTGAACCCGCGACCTTCCAACTTGTAGCATAGTGCCTTAACCATTACATTACCGCGTGCCCCTGAATAATTTTACAAACATGGTAAATTTTATTTAAAATTGTTGCCAGTTTGATGAGGATTCAAGATCCTTGGATGCCAGATAACCATAGTTTGGTGTATAATATAAATCTCATAGTGACGTTTTTAAGCCAGTATTTAATTTTCATGAATAAATTTACTTTTCATCACAGAAGTAATCCTCAGTGAATATCACTCACTTTGCCGCATCCTCTGTACCAAGAACACAAAACCTGTTGTCTTTGGGTGTAAAACTTGGTAATAACGCTCCAGTTGATGAGCAGATGCAAATTGGTGGCTGCGCTGTTGACTTCCAGCTGTCAAATCTGTGCCCTCTGGGAAGAGTAGAATCTGGAAATGAATAGCTTNTAACAAAACCAAAAATAAACCATACAATAAGCTCAGAGATATTGGGTTTTCGGACTTTATCCATCGTCCTGGTTTTTAAGATAACTAAGAAAAACACGACGTTCCAGAAACTGGATCTGTTTCCATCCTCAGGTGAGGAAAAACACCTATTCTGTTGGTCCCTTAGAAAGAGCTAGCCTCAGTCACTAGCTAGCCTCAGTCACTAGCTAGCTCTTTCTAAGGGACCCAACAGAATAGGTGTTTTCCCTCACCTGAGGACGGAAACAGATCCAGTTTCTGAAACGTCGTGTTTTTCTTAGTTATCTTAAAAACCAGGATGATGGATAAAGTCCGAAAACCCAATATCTCTGAGCTTATTGTATGGTTTATTTTTGGTTTTGTTAAAAGAGTTCATCCTCTGATGCTGTTGTAACTCTATTCTTTTAATTTTCTTAGATTGACAAAAAATGCTGCCTTACATAAATACATAAGCTCAAAATGTCACCATATATTTTTACTATGTGAAATCATTCAGAAATGTAGAATAACACTTCAACCAGCAATAGTTGCTGAATCTGTGAAAGAGAGTATAATTATATACATCATGGGAAAATTAAGGAAAGAATAGCACAAGTTGCCAGCTATGCATAATAACACTTGCACAAGTAGTATCATGAAAAGAATGTTGTATGGACAATGTTGCATCAGGTCTTAAAACTTCCTATACAATTCCTTGGTACTTTCAGACAAATGCTGATAGAGTATTTTCAAATATGCCTTACCTGCAGTACTTCCCATTTTATCACTCACAACCAACATAGTATTTCGTTTAACATTTCATAGCACACATATCATCAACTGATGAGATTGGTCAGTATTATAAAAATTAGTTTACCTCAAATGGTTTATCTAGCAAATCACGCAAGAAGAAGAAGAATCGGTTTCAAAATTAAGAGCTGGAATATGCTTGGTAATCTTATCTTAATTTTTCTGCATCCTGTTGTGTATCAAAAGTATACTTAGGGACCATCAACACAACAATTAATTATAAATTGATATTAAAATGTTTAATATATTTTAACAATTCAATAATGACATGAAATTCATAAAAACCATCTGATGATCTTAAAAATTGAAACATGTAGTGGGATGAAAAAAAAATAACCTGAATATTGACAATTTTATTGTAGGTTTATAATTAATTGTTGTGTTGAAGGCCCCTAAGAATACCTCTGGTAACCTAAACCTAAACCTAAACATTTCTAAAGAAGGTTAAACCTTTCATCTCTGTCAATGCCGATACTTCCATAACTGCAGTACTAAAGAAAATGTCTATCTGGTACTGCCATTCAGCCACATGGGAACAAAAGGTTTAAATTTTTGTCTCTCAGTCATATGCCAGAAGAGATCTGTTCTTTTTTTTTTTTTAAGAGAATTAATGCATAAGGTCTCTGAAAGGTCTGATTTTCTGGTTGCACATGTCTGCACTGAGGACTCATTACTGCATTAGAATCTCAGTTCATTAATGCAAAGGGGCAAGCACGGCTTCCATATAAATGCTGTTCAAGTAGGGTGCAGGGGGGTAATAAACTTATAATCCAGTGAAATAACTTTTCCCAAGCAAAAGGATCATAAAAATGTATTTGGAACCCTCATTTAATGTTCTTTTTTGATTTAAGGTCTTCCCTCACGTAACATTCAGTTTCAATGATCCCAAGTAATTAACCTTAGGCTTTGATTTTCTCTATTAACATTTTGTATAGTTTAGTGCCTACTTCAATTGCTCTTCAAAGACACCTTACACAAAGGCTTCACTGTAATTGCAAAGGTGGAAGGTGTTCAGTAATCCAATTGAAATACATATGTAATATTATGGGAAGGCAATTAAAAGCAAGAGAGAAATTAGTAATACATACCTGACAGGAATGACCAATGTCTCGGAAGTAATCAAGAGCCTTTTCCAGGACAGCCTTGTCACGATCCCAACGCCGATGGATGTACAGGAAACAATTCATCTGCATCACCCAACCTAAACAGACACATTTTTTCTATTGTTTAAACAGAAACAAAAACTGAACATTTTTCTGTAATACTCATGTTTCATTCATGACTGATCTCCAGTTCCAGATACTTTTATTCTGCTTATGTCAGTAAGAGACCCTAAATCTGTAACTTAAAATATTACCTGCTCCTGGAATATGTCTGACAGATGCTTTGAGCACCATCTTTATCCGATGTGCAAGTGGCTTGCAAGCATGGAATATGCCTGCCCATAAAAAGTTCCAGTCAAGGCGTGTGCGATGGTTCATGATGATCAGTGCTCGATCATGAGGAAGGATTGCATCTCCTTTCACTATAACTTTTGTACCAATCAGGCATTCCAGTAGAGCCTGTGAAAGTAATAACATGGTCCAAGGTAATATTATGTTGTTATTAGAAATAATAAAACCCTTTCAACATCAAATTAATGAAATAATTGTCTGATAATAAAATATAACAGTTAAACACTGCTAATGCCAGTGTCCAGTAAGAACCTGGCACTGAGACAATATAGAACAGTTCACATTCTTACACTACCTTCTTGTTATATGCTTTTTATTTAATACCAATACTTGTTTCAAATTATAAACAGTGTATGAAGTAAATAATATAATTTTGATTTTATTAAAAAGATAGGTACTGGTATAAAAAATTTTAGTTGTAGATATGCCTAGAAATAGCCCATTCCATAGATCAAGATATAAATATTAGAATTGATCTCAAGGAAGTATGCAAATTATAAATTAAATAAAAAAAGAGAGGTTACCCTGTAATTCACACTAGCTGCATGGTGTAAGTTTCTTTTGGTTTTAGACTGTAAACACTTAACAAAGTTCAAATTCCACTTTCTACATGTATATAAGTATGTATACATTTTCACTTTTTCATGTAGTCCTGTGTAGAAAGAAGTCTTACCATGGGCTAATCTACCTTTGAAGGAATTGGACTAAACATGTGTGCCAACAGCATTTTCTTTTTTTGGGGAGGGGGGGATAAAAATTTTCTTACAAGCTTCCATTTAAGCCATTCGGATTTGTTTTAATGACCATCATCCCAGGGTATTCGGGATAGGAGAATAACTGAATCCCCTCACCTGTGCTGGAACCAATGCCGCAACATGTCTGGAGAATGTCTCTTTCAGAACTAATTGTAAATTGGAAAACAGGCAGGAAGATATAATCTTATACAGCAGAGTAAGCTATCCTCTAAGCACATACTTTGACTAATATGGCATGTGATGGTGAAATACCAATTATATTCAGCACTTCAACATGAACTCAAGTTGTGCGGTCAGCTCCAACTACTCATATCCCCATGTTTTGCAGCTCCCCATAGTTACTAGATAAGAAGCTGGTTGGTCAAAATAGCCGTTCTGTATGTGGAAATAACGGGAACAATTTCAACACCCAATACTAGGAATCGTGCTCCAAAAATCAAGTTCATAGCCGGTCACAAAATTAAGATGTAAATAAGATTCCGTTATTTGTATTTGTTATTGGAAAAAATACGCATACTGTACGATGTTCTTACCGCTGGGTATACTTCCCACGCCGCAAAAACAATGTCCGTGAGTTGTCTGAAGAGCTTCTGGTCCAGAAACAGGAGTGGCAGCAACGGGCAATAGAGGAACAGGAAGCCTGAACAGATGCTACCGTACCAGAAGCCGCAGAACACAAGACCACGCACCAGGCATCTCAACCGTCCCATCAGCAAACCGAGCATTGTTGATACATTGAATTGTTATGACAGCGTTATGAAAGCACGTATGGTTATCAAACAATAGAAAAATAGAATCGTTCTCTAAGGTTTGTCAGTTACTTCTTTGAATTCGGTTGTAAGAATAAACAAACATAAGAACTTCTAATCTTTCGTTAATGTTTCTTCTTTGGTCGTACCGACTGAATAAAAACTAGAAAAGACTTTAGAACTTCTCGGAATTTTCCTTCAGCACTTATTAGAAAATAATCCATAACGGAAATGTTTATAAACCCCCATAAATTACGATAAATGCCTTTCTTCGTTCACTCGTCTTTAGGAATGAATCAGAAAATATAATCTTTCAAGTTCCGTGAAACATTTGTATTAGACGCGATTGTTGCAATATAAAAGAACCTTCCATTCTCTGTGAAAAGGGTCACTTGTTTCCATATAAAACCTAAAACCGAAATTATTTCTAAGCATCTGAAAAATTATTATTTAAACCATCCTAAAATCCACATTTCTGAAGTTCCATAAACTGCTTTTTCATCAGCGGATGTGAACTAATAGAAAATCAGTAAATTTAGAAAATCGCGTGGTATGGTAATCTAGTAACTTGTTCAGGTATTCTTGCAGCAAGCAGAACTCCACAGCGTACGTGGGCCCCGCGACGGCTGGCGGGGATCTGTGGGATGGACGACGGCTGAAAAACCACTCGGACTCGACGACTCTCCCGTCGCCTTCAGCTCTTGTTGCCTGGGAAAACACTCTCCCAGCTAGCGTATTGATCTCGCAGCATCCAGACTCGGTCCACAGAGCATCAATATAGCCTAGTTCTTGGCTCCTTTGTGTCCCCTTATTATTACATGCTTGGGGTGGCTATTATTAGTGACAATATAGAATTAATGACACCCCAACTTCAAACTTTGTCTCGAAGCATATACAATGAGTTAGATAAAAGAGTAGAAGATGCACAGGCCATACGCTAGGCATATGGGATTTTTTTTTTCTTTTTGGAATAAGAGTGATACCTTATTCCTCTCATCGTCATGCTACTTATCGTGCCATCGGTAAGGGGGGGGGGGGGGAGAAGGCGGATTAAACGAGTTTGGTGAGCTTACGAATCACTGCATTGGAGTTCAAGTCAATCGAATTTAACTCAGTATAAACTGATGTTTAATGAGTTTTTCAATCGAAATAAGAACCCTGCACGTCTTACAGTTTCAAAGCAATCCTAACCGTAATATTTTTTGGAAATCTGAAAATATACTTATTTGTAATTTCGTATCTGCGCCATCTCTGAAAATATGAGCTCCTTAAATCTGTACTTTAGAGAAGTATATATCGTGTTTTTGTATTCAGACAATATGAATGTCCTATCTACCATTCTGCAGCACCACAAAGCAGCAGGGTACACGTAATATTTCCTTTCCAATTTCATTAAATTATATCTATAAATTCTAGTTCTGTTGATTGGATTCGTGGTCTGCACTCTTCATCTGGTATTGTATGAACTATTAAATCAAGTAGATGAAAATCGGTTGAACATGTAAAAGGCGTGAGGGTATTTGGAAATTAAAAAAAGATGTTAGTTGGTAAACCTCATGAAAAGATTCCATTTTGTCAACCAAAGCACATAAAGGACAAAAATACTAAAATTGATCTTACAATAAGGTTGTGAGATCTGAATGTGTTTGAACCGACTCGAAATATGCTCCAATGACATGCTTTTGATGTAACGGTGATGAACCTTAGGTTGTCACACCAGGAGACATCTTGATCGGTTGTTCAAGGAAGGCCCTACAATACAGGTGTAAGTATTGAATTTCAAGTTGCTCTTTACTAAAAAGAGGTCTCATTCAATTTTTCCTGAGGTTCATTTATGCAAGGTAAGCTATTTGCATAAAGGTATACAAGTTTAGGACGTCTGTCTTATAAATATCTGACAGTTTGCAAAGTTGGTACTTTCATAACGGGAAGAACCCCACTTTTGGAGAGGTTTGTGGACATAACTGTGGATTAAAAATTAAGAAAGAGGGATAATAAAGATACCGTGGCATTGACTTCTCAGAACAGAAATTTTACCAAAAAGCAAGCTCACTATGGTAGGATGAAAATCAGAATATTTAGCAAACCTGAAGGTTAAACAGACAACATCGTCATCAATTTAGAGTTATCAGACATTCAAAATGAGCATGGCCTTTCAGGCCCTAAGCGTATATGTCTCTCATGTGAGAAACTGGGGTTTAATCTCGCAAACCTACGCACATTCAATTTTATTATTTTGGGGCTGGAGCATGCCTGTCTTCAATCTTCAAACAGCGGACGAAAATCGGTCTGTCACCTCTTAGCTAAGCACAAAAAAATTCTATATTTTTGAACCAGGTTGGAAATGACTCAGATGTCGCGTTGTGCAATAATGATACAGTCGCGCCTTTTCAAAATTGTACGATTTCCCCGGAACCTAACATTTAAGAGTGACGCCCAGCTAGAGACCTAATTCTCACACGAAGTTTTTGATGCTATAAAAAAAAAATTATAAGTATACACACATTATCAGTGTAATACAATAATAGACATTACCGTTGTAGGTAATTTCCATTTTCTAAACATTTACTTACTTACTCATGGAGCTGAGCCCTTCTTGAGGAGCCGCCAATTCTGCAGCTACTCTAGAATTTCCCAGCATTTTATGGAACCCGAAGGTTCATCACCGTGTTCACAAGAGCCCTCCACTGGTCCCTGTCCTGAGCCAGATCTATCCAATCCCTATCATCCCATCCTATCTCTCTAAGATCCATTCTAATATTGTCCACCCACTTACGCCTTGGTCTCCCCTATGGTCTCCTTCCGTCTGGCCTTCCCACCAATATCCTATACACATTCCTCGTCTCCCCCATTCGTGCTACATGACCTGCCCACCTCATCCTCCTCGACTTGATCACTCTAATTATACTTGGAGAAGAGTACAAGTTATGAAGCTCCTCATTATGCAGTTTTCTCCAACCTCCCTTCACTTCATCTCTCTTCGGTCCAAATGCTCTCCTCAACACCCTGTTCTCGAACACAATCAGTCTAGGTTCCTCCCTTAATGCNAAGTTATGAAGCTCCTCATTATGCAGTTTTCTCCAACCTCCTGTGAGTTCATCTCTCTTTGGTCCGAATATTCTCTTCAACACCCTGTTCTCGAACACAGTCAGTCTATGTTCCTCCCTTAATGTCAGAGATCAAGTTTCACACCCATACAGAAAAATTATAGTTCTGTATATTCTCATTCTTATGTTTTTGGACAACAGACGAGAAGACAAAATGTTCTGGACTGAATGGTAGCAAGCATTACCCGAGTTCAATCGCCTCCTGTAAACATTTAACGTGATAAATATACATGATTTAAGGTTCTCACACCGATGGTTGTGAAGAGATGTATCTTCTGGGATATAACGCAGTGTAGTCCGCCGAAAGTCAATCACCGTTTGGGAAGAACAGGTCCCCCCCATCTTCAAGGCTGAAGAATAAGCCAGGCAAGGAACCAGCGTGAAAGGGGGTGGAAACCTGTTTCTTTTTGGTTCTAAAGGGATCTGACGATGGTGGATGACACACAGGATTACTGGACATGTCATCTATTACCAAGAATTCCGGATAATGGGAAAGGTCCAAAAACTTTGTAATTCTCTGTTTCTTTTTGCTTGGTTTCTTCTTCGAACCTGAAGATGGAGGCAATATTTTCCTCGGAAACGTCGGTTGGCTTTCAATGGACTACACGACGTTGTATCCCAGAGGGTAGGATTTTTCAACATTTTTCATTCAGATCGTTAATTAAACAGTCAATCCTAATTGACTGATACAGCGCAAATAATTTTAGTACGGTTATCCACACTTTCTTTCTGAAAATCAGGCAAAGATTGAAATATACAGACCGAAAACTTCGTCTGTTACCTAATGGAAAAATATCACTTGGGAGAACAAAATGTAGATGGAAGGAAAATATCAAATTGCATTATAAAGAAATGGGATATCAGAACTTATCGGGCTCAGGTTACGTAGCGGTGGCGGTTTTTTTCCGAAGACAATAACGAACCTTCGGTTCCATAAAGGCGGATCATTTCTTGACTAAATGAGAGACAACTAGCTTCTATAGAAAGTCTCTGCTCCGTGGAGTTTGTTTTTCAATAAATTCAGCAAATTTAGAATTTTATTATCAGCTTCAGTCAGTTAATTAGACAGTCATGAGGCTGATTGAGTACAAAATTTCTTTGGAATTCGGCATAATTCAAATGTTGAGATATTTTAGCAGAGAGACAAACTTGTTTCGACGAATGAAAAGACAATTGGCGAGACACGTTTCAACGATCAGACATTGATAACTTTACATATGCTCGTGTAGCAAGCTTAAAAGATAGTATCGATTACTTCGAAACATTAAGTTCTCGTATAGCTCATAAAAGAATGTGTCTAGTAGCGTCAAAGTACTCTTCTGCAAATTTCATGAAACACGGGTCAGTTACAATAAAACGTTTCTAATTTCCTAACACCTAAAACATTCCGATATAGGCTCAATTCCTTCTCCTTCCTCCCCAACCACCAAAATTCACGGAATTTTTTGCTGGTCAACCAAATTCGAAGCTACTGAGAGAGAGAGAGAAAGTTAAAGGGATTCATATTACCTCCAATGAGACGTCTTTTNTACCCATACACCAACGAAATACACAACTAGAACAGAAGCACCAGGTTAAGGGAAGGGGGGGGGGGGGGGGGGAGACAGAACGAACCGACCTTTTAGCCGACTGTGATCAGAGGCTGCTGGGCCCAAAGAAAGGTTGTAGATGTGGCGGTGAAGAGAAAAGTCCCAACTAATGCCGAAAAGCACGCCACTCGTCCCANTGAACATATTCCTGTCGAATCCCGTCGAACAGTCTTCACTGCTTCATACATAGGCTCGGCACGGTCCACCCTCAGAAAACATCGCTGATCAACAATGGATATCATGTATTTTTGTCAGGCGTGTCCACCCATGCATTGCCTAGTAACGGACGGCCTATTGTTGCGCATTCGTTGCTGTGATATGTTTACCGGTCTGTTACCTAGCACTCGACAGTAGAAGATAATTGAGAACAGACGATGAGAGAGTTGGCAGTTACGGCAGATAATTCGACTCAAAGGGTTCCGGAGTCGATAACTGAGGAATCGAGTGAGTTCAGCTACCTTGGAAGTCCCGCTGTAAAATCTTTATGTGTGTTGTACTTACAGCGAGTGTTACAAACTCGTTGCCACGATACGTATCCTAGTGATTTGTGAAAAGTGTACAATTTGTACACTTTTTACAGATCACTAGGATACGTATCGTATCGCTATAAGGTTGTGATTAATTGTAGTTTTGCTACGAGTTGGCTGTTAAACTCGTCGATAAACCAGTATCTAACCTATAAGGAAGGATAAGCGAAGTAATTTAGAGATTCTTCTGAGATATGGAAAGTAAGAAGAGAACCGAATGGAGATACGCATGGCTGTGCCGTGGACTGTTAAGTATGTTAACGGCCTGGGTACTGGTGTTAGAGGTTAAAATCAAATTGTGGATAGCTCCGTCGAGGCAGGAGAACTCTAACCCGGAGAACGCGCAAGCAGCAGGGGTACCGAGTTCGGGGCCTGCAGAAGTAGCTCAGGAAATACAGGAATTAGAAGATAAACTCTGGGAGAAGATTAATTGTGCAAAAAGAA